CCCCCAAAGGATCCCCTTAAAGAGCTGCTGCAGGCTGCTTGCGGAGCTCCCGAAGCCGGCGCCCGCTCCGTCGCCGGCGCAGCCTTCGGTGCCCATCAGGGCTGCGAAGGCAGAAGGGCCTCAGTTTAGGGTTTAGGGTTTAGGTTTTAGGGGTTTAGGGTTTAGGGTGTAGGTTTAGGGTCTAGGGTTTAGGGTTTAGGGTTTAGGGTTTAGGGTTTAGGGTTTAGGGTTTAGGGCTAGGATTCAGCTTGGTTGGTAGGTCTAGGGTTTAGAATTGTTAGCGTTCTGGAGGGTTTCGGGCTCTGAGGGTTTGTGGTTTGGGGTTTCGGGGGCTTGGGGTAGAGGAGCCGAGAATGTTGTAGGGGCCCTCTTGACCGAAAGCCCAAGCCCTCTTAAACCCACACGCCAAATAGCGTGGGCTTAGGGTTTACCCCAGCCTTCCTCAACTTTTAAAGGATCAAACTCCCCGACCGACATGCTCCCTACACCGGAAATCCTCATCCCCCGTACGCACACGCCCTCGAAATCCTCAGCACCTTCAAGCATCCCAAAGACCATAAAAGCAACCCTAAACCCTAAACCCTAAACCCCTCAAGAAAACCCCGAGCCCTGGGGTGCCGGCAAGGCCATGGACTTATCGGGCTTGGCTGGGCAACTTCTTCCTTTCCAGGCCGCGGGGGGGCCCATCGAAAAGGCCCAGAGACCCCAAGACAGACTTCGGTAGACGTAGGTAGGGTTTAGGGTTTAGGGTTTAGGGTTAAGGATTTATATAGTTTAGGGTTTAGGGTTTAGGGTTTAGAGTTTAGGGTGTAGGGTTTACGGTTTAGGGCAAGTTTAGGGTTTAGGGTTAGTGAGGACAACTGAAATTCACATGTGAACAAATAAATCAACATGTGTATACATTTGCTATGTATACATTATTGTTGGCACCTCACCCAAACCCAACCCAACCCAACCCGGTATGACCTTGCGATATCTTGGATTTTCCATATTGGGCTTCAGAGGATCTATACAAGAATGTTCTTCAAAGGGCTTGGGGGGTCAATCTAGCATCAATAGGCCCGAAATGAGGCTGGACTGAGGGTTCTTAGGATCATAATATGGACTTCTTGGGTATGGTTCGACGCCTGCACGAAACACCGAAACACATCCCATCCACCCCCCAACAATCAGAAAACTACTTGCAACCCCAAACCCTACAACTGTATGGAAGCTCATAACCATGATAATTGTAGGGACGGGCCGCCAACAGGAGTAGGTGCCATTGAGGAGCCAGGCGCCCAAACCGCCGAAGCCCTGAACCGTGAAACCCTCGACCCGCAACTTTTTTCTTCTTCAGGGTATGGCCCAGGCGATTGGGCTGAGAGAATGTTTTAACGGTGAGGCTCGCATGTCTTGAAGCATCATACGACAGAGGCCTGAAGTACCGCCTACCAGCCCCACATTGCTTGTCAGCTCTGGTTTAGGGTTTAGGGCTCTTCCCGACCCCAGCATCCTAGGCACGCACAAAATCCCTGAACCGTCCTAACCCTACCTGCACCCCAAAGCCTACGCCTGAAACCTAAAAACCCTAAACCCTAAACCTGCGCCCTGCACCTGATCCAGCAGGTGGAGGCAGTGGAGTTTGGCCTCCAGCGTCAGGGAAGGCCAGCAGAGACCCATTCCACTCCATTCTATTCCATTCTATTCCATTCTATTCCATTCTATTCCATTCTATTCCATTCTATTCCATTCTATTCCATTCTAGTCCATTCTAGTCCATTCTATTCCATTCAGTCTATTCCATTCTATTCCTATGTGTTTTTGTTCGCACGTATCATTGGAAGAAAGTAGCTTCAAGTTTGGTATTGTGGGAGCGCTGTAGACTTCGAGTTTAGGCTTTAGGGGAATCTGTGGCGGTGAGAAGGGAGACAAGGTTTAGGGTTTGGGACTCTCGGGTCCAGGCTCTAGGGTGGCATAGCAAGGGGCTTAGAGGGTTTGCGGTCTAGGGCACCCTCAAAACCCCAAAACCCTACATGGTTCAGTGGCGCCAGGTTTCTGCTCGGCGATGAGATGGGCCTAGGGAAGACCATCACCGCCCTGGCACTGGCCAAGCACTTCGTGGAGGCGTTTGGGGGAGTTGGAGGTCTCAGGTTTCTGAGGTTTTAGCATTTAGGGTTCAGGTTTAGGGTTTAGGGTTTAGGGTTTGGGGTTTGGGGTTTGGGGTTTAGGTTCTGGGTGTCTAGCATCTCCAAGAGTAGTAGTTTCACGGGCCCTTCTTTGGGTCCTTGACCCTCAGAAAAAGGGTTCTGGATTGTGTAGGTACCTTAAAAACCCTAAACCCTAAAAGCGAGACCCTAAAACCTAAATCCTAAACCCTAAAAACGATGCCCTCAAGCCTACAATTCTAAAGCCTACAAGCCTGATGCAGGCCTGGCCCGTCCTCGTGATAGCACCAGCCCCACTCTGCCGAGTCTGGCAGGCCACGACTCTTGAGGGCAGTTCAGGGTTCAGTTTTTCGGGTTTAGGATTTAGGGTTTAGGGTTTAGGATTTAGGGTTTAGGATTTAGGGTTTGGGGTTTTGGGTCTTATGGATTATGATATCGAGTCTCTCTCTTTAACTCGGTGGTCCTTAACATCAACCCGGACTTTCGGTGTCGAGTGGAACCGGTACCTGTTTGGGCACCTTGCCTGTACATATGTTTAATGTTGAGGGGGTTAGAACCCATCCTTAAACCCGAGTTTAGGGTTTAAGGGTTAGGGGTTAGGGTTTAGGGGTACGGGTTCAGAATTCGAATTCCAAGGGCACCAGTCGCCCCTTGCTGAACTGGTATGCCATGATTCTGCTTAACATCGAAGACAGGAGCCAAAGCCCTCAAAGCCGCACTCACATCGCATGCCTCCCCCCCCCCCCCCCCCCCCCTAGAAAGCCAAACGCACCCGAAGGCCAAACTCCAGACCTTCAACCCCAAACCCCAAAGCAGGGGAAACACACACACACACACAAACCCGCAAAACCAAAAGCCCGGAAACCAGAATGAAGATCCCAAAAACACCTAACCCCCAACAGCCCCCAAACCCACCACCGAAGCAAAGGCACAACAAGCAGGACCCCAACCCACAAGCCCCGAACCCACCACCGAAGCAACCAAAAGGGAAGAGAGCCAGGACCAGGCCTTGCATTGGCTGCCGAGCCTTCTGGGGCCCGAGGACGTGGTCGTCGTGCGATCCGGACAGGACAGGGGCTTCAAGGGTCTTGGGGTGAGGGATGACGGGATCTTGGGGTATGGAGGGTATAGCGGGTTGAGAGGGTTGAGGGGTTCTGGGGTCCAGGGGCTGAGGGGTGTTCAGGTCCAGGGGTTGAGGGGTGTTCAGGTCCATCTTGTCTAGGACTTGAGGCTTTGGCACAATGCCCTTCCTCGAGACGAGTACCCGCAACAGCTGAGCCAAACCTTCCACGTGCATGCCTCGAGGCATTTGTTGTTCCATGTCAAATACTCACGAATGCGACATGCAAAGCGTGCATTTGGCCGAGGGATCCGTCGGGACTTGGTTCACACGCATTTTTCAGTCGATGTTTAGGATTTCGACGTGCTTTTGGGGTCTGGGTGTATTGGTGCTTTAGGTTTGGGTGTTGTGGTGCTTTACGCATCTGGCTTCATGGCAGGAGGCTTAATTCGGAGCTAGATCATGAGTCCTTGAAGGCCATGTGCAGACGCAAGCCTCTGCATGGCACCTAACGCCTCATGCACTTGCAGAGAGTCCACAGACGCTGAACCCCAAGCCTGCCCCCCCGAAATTTCACATGCACGGCATTCCAAACAAGCCAACGTCACGTTGTCTAGAAAAAATAGATGCTGATGGCCCCCGCGTTGCTGGATCCTGACTTAAAGAAGGGTTGGGCCTCCTTTTAATTTAACCAAGTTAAAGCAACAAAATGGCACCCTACATTGTCTGAGACACAAGTTAGGCAGGCTGGAATATGTCATATCGTCCCCTTCTGTGTCTAGAATCCGGAACTTTCTTCGGAGGGCTTTCCGGGATGTGAAGGACCGCCGAGTTAAAGACAGCGACTCGATATCACAAGCCATAAGACCCTAAACCCTAAACACTAAACCCTAAACCCTAAACCCTAAGCCGCTGCTATCTTGAAGGACGTCCCTGCGACCACTGCTAAGCCACTCGTACTACTTCCGGCCTGTTGTGCTTGCTGAACACGTAGGACTTGGGAGTTGCTGTTTAAGGGTTCAGAGTTCACCCTAAAACCCTAAAGCCCTAAACCCTAAACCCTAAACATCAGACTTGCAACTTAAGGATTAGGGGATCGGTGCTAGGGTTCAGGCGAAGTTTGATAGGCTGACAGGGCCTGTCATCTAGCGTTTAGGGTTTAGGGTTTAGGGTTTAGGGTTTAGGGTTCTTTAAGTTGAGACTACGCCGATTGAAGTTTCAGGTCTAAGTCTAAGGGTCCTTGAAGGATGTTGAAGGTGTGTCAAGCCGCACGCCTAGCGTTCAAGGGCTAGCTCCCGACACTCCAGCACATGAACTTCGAATACCCCCACCAAACCCTAAACCCTAAACCCGAAAGCATGAACCCTGAACCCTAAGCCCTACACCCAAGCATGAATTTCCTGGGCTTGGTGGTCCATGCCACCCAGACGATCCCAGGAGTTTGCAACCTCACTAATTTTAAGGCACAATTTACCTCTTGGATTCTAAAACATGTTTAGGGTTAAGGGTTTCGGGGAGGAGGGAGGTGGTTGAATACGGTTCAATGGAGTCCGTCATCCGTTTAGATTGGGTCTAAACATTAGGAGTTCTGGGTCTTGGGCACTCTAAACTCTAAGCCCTAAACCCTAAACCCTAACCCAAACCTTAAACCCTAAACCCTAAACCTTAAACCCTAAACCCCTAAACCTTAAACCCTAAACCCCTAAACCCCTAAACCCCTAAACCCTAAACCCTAAACCCCTAAACCCCTAACCCTAAACCCTAAACCCTAAACCCTAAACCAGAGTTCAAGGATGGTAGTGGTCTCTTACAACCTCCTGTCCGCCGCGGAGCAGGACGTGGGCAGGCTCTGCATGGCTGGGCTTCATTCAGGGTTTAGGGTTTAGGGTTTAGGGTTTAGGGTTTAGGGTTTAGGGTTTAGGGTTTAGGGTTTAGGGTTTCGGGTTTGGGGTTTAGGGTTTAGGGTTTAGGGTTTAGGGTTTAGGGTTTAGGGTTTAGGGTTTGGGGTTTGGGGTTTGGGGTTTGGGGTTTAGGGTTTAGGGTTTAGGGTTTAGGGTTTAGGGTTTAGGGTTTAGGGTTTAGGGTTTAGGGTTTAGGGTTTGGGGTTTAGGGTTTAGGGTTTAGGGGTTTGGGGTTTAGGGGTTAGGGTTTAGGGGTTTGGGGTTTAGGTGTTTAGGGGTTTGGGGTTTAGGGGTTTAGGGGTTTAGGGTTTAGGGTTTAGGGTTTAGGGTTTAGGGTTTAGGGTTTGAGGTTAGGTTTAGGGTTTGGGGTTTAGGGTTTGGGGTTTAGGGTTTAGGGGTTTAGGGGTTTGGGGTTTAGGGTTTAGGGTTTGAGGTTTGGGATTTAGGGTTTAGGGTTTAGGGTTTAGGGTCTCGGGTTTCGGGTTTAGGGTAGAATAGGACCCCACCGGACCCGGCGCCTTCCGTGACTTCCAGATGATCATCGTGGATGCGCCTGGGCTCGGGGGTTTAGGGTTTAGGGTTTAGGAGTTGGGAGTTAGAAGGGGAACAGCTTAGCACAGCAGACCCTCAGATTGCTGTAACCCTGAACCCTGAACCCTGAACCCTGAACCCTGAACTTCCAAACCTCCAACCTCGAGCATGGTCCTCGGGTTGTTCCCAGGTGCCTCAGCCTGCGAACAGGTTTCCTAAGTTTTGCTGGATACCGCTGGATACCCCAACCTTTTGCATCTTTAAACCCTCAACCCCGGGAATTCTGGAACCCTCAAATTTTCTAAAGCATACTTGAAGGGCCACGGGCACTGATAGGTACGGTTAGAACAAGTCAAGTCTCAAACCCTAAACAGCCCCCCTAACTAAACCCCAGAGACTGGAACACCCAATGAACCCTAAAACCCTGCAACGCCCCAACCTGAAACTGTAGAACCTGACAACCTGCCCCAAGACTTGTCAAGCCCAACATGAAACCCTGACCCTTAAAAACACCCTGCAAAGGCCCGACCCCTAAAGGAGTGCCATCAGCTGCGGGGGCAGAGCTCCAAACGCGCACAGGCGGGTTGAGCACCTGGCACAGAAAGACTCCTTCGGTTTCGCGCTTCGATCCCTTGTGAATTTTGGGCTTCAATCTTTTGAGATTTTTACAGGGTGTTGAGGCTTTTTGGCGGGCTGAGAGTTGAGGGTGATGTTATGTGGGTTTTTGTGTTCCGGGTTTCGCGTGGAGATCGAGCCCGACCCACTTTTGCAGGTCAGGATTGCGGATTTTCTCGGAGGCTAGCTATCACTGAGGTTACGGCGAAGTATCAGGTTTGGGGTTTGGGGGTTATATAAGTTCGGATTGAGCAACCCCAAAACCCTCAACCCTCAGCGCAAATCCCTGGAGGCCGTGGTACCCCTCGCCAAGAGAGCCAAGCATGCTTTGCTCCTGCTCCTCGCCACAAACCAGAAATCCCTAAACATCTCTCACCTCTTTGGGGCGTAGGTTGGGGGTTCAGCCTCAGAGCTTTAGGACTCCATGTGCTGTTTAGGGTTGCAGGCCTTTTGCATTTTAAGGTTTGGGGCTCTAAGGCTTACTGGCGTTCCCCTTTTTGGGGGTATCCGTCCCGTTTAAAAAGCACCACTGCAGTCCAAGCAAACCCTTACTGTGCTTAGAAGCTGGGGAACCCCAAACCCTAAACCCTCCACATTTGGGCAGTCTGGCGGCAAATTGGATTCACATCCACCGCCGCTCGAAACGCATGGACGTTTAGGACGACTTGTTTTGTACATGTTTTTGATAGGGCACCCTTTCTTAACTGATGCAGCATCTCTTTTATTGTTTACTTCGAGGTATGAGGTGCAGGGTACGTACAACCTACTGAGTATCCTCAGTCAGTTTGCTAGCTAGACTTAGGGGACACGCAAGTGGGGTGGTGTCGTGAGAACCCTGATCCGCCCAATAGTGCTTATATAGGGCTTTTGTTACAGAATCGTGGGGGTGAGCTCCTGCTTCAGTGGAACTTGCCATTGTCCAGGACAGGCACCCCGCTCGTCGCACGCGCCGAGGCCAGCCACGGCCGAAACTCAAAACCCGAAACCGAAGCCGAAGCCCTGAACACTGAACACTTAGGGTTTAGGGTTTAGGGTTTAGGATTTAGGGTTTCGGGTTTAGGGTAGGCCTAAGCCCTCCAGCCCCAACCCACAAGCCTTGAACCCTTAGCCCGAAGCCAAACCTTCGAGCTTTGGCCCCAGAGCATCCTGAAACTAGGATGCCCAGTACTGCACTTTATTCCCTTTTCTGTTTTTTTTGGGTTAGGCTGCATTTTTCACCTCATGAAGCAAACCAGGGTCTAGTTTAAATACCAGTAACCCAAAGCCCCAAACCCTAAGCCCTAAGCCCTACGCAGAGAAGCCCCTGGATCAGGATGCCTATCCTCTGCTGGAGGCGCTTCTGCCAGAGGCCCGGTCCTCGGCCCAGCGTTTTGGAAGACCACGGGTGTAGGGGTCACGCAGCGGTTAGCATCCTAAGCCCTTGAAACTCTACACCCTAAACCCTAAACCCTAAACCCTAAACCATGTTATCAGGGTTTGGTGCTACTGTGGGTTGCTGGTTGTGGCATGCATTGCATTGGCCTCGCTGTTGCCAGGGCTGAAGGTTGGCATGGGCCAGTTAGCCTAGGGAAACGGCTTAGGCTTCAGGAAAACCAGGGTTTCGCGTTTCCGGGTCCTGGATTTTGGGGTTTAAGGTTCGGGGGACAGGATAGGGTAGGGCATGGTAAGAGTTCCAGCGCGGGGGGTGGGTGACCATTTTTACCTATTTTGAATTATGGGCACTTCTGTCGTCTCCTTTACAAAGTAACTACAAAGTATGCTCTTACTTTGAAGCCCAGGTCTGTGCAGAGCCCTCGACGGCGATAAACCCTTATTTATTTAGTCCCCAATCCCTAAGCCCGAAGCCCAAAACCCTAAACCACAAATGCTCTTCAACCGAAAGCCCTACAGGAGGAGCTCCCCCCACCCAGCGACTTCGCGGCCCGGTACGGCCGCCGTGGCGCGCGACGGCTGCAGGCACGAGGGGGATTTCGCCATGCGCGGTCTCATGAACCCTAAACCCTAAACCCTAAACCCTAAACCCTAAACCCAGGGCTTAGGCTCGAGGGCCGGGAAAAATCTGAAGCAAGGGGGGGGGGGGGGGGGGGGAGACTGCCTTCAAAGGCCTTATTTCACCGCCAAGGGAAGACCCGAAAAGTAGGGGAAACAGCATCCTGAAAGTTTCTGGCAACCTATTCAAGCAGGTTGAGGGTTTAGGGTTTAAGGGTTTGGGGGTTTAGGGGTTTGGGGGTTTGGGGGTTTAGGGGTTTAGGGGTTTAGGGTTAAAGGCAGGTGCTTTGCTCTTCGTTCTGCATCTGGGCCTTGGGATGTGAGGAGAGTGAGAGAGTCCCCCCCCCCCTGAGGGGGGGTTGGCACTCCCCAAGCCCGAAGCCTCTGCCGACGACGCCAGGAGCTTCATGCGCTCTTGGGCTCTGTGATGCTTCGTCGCACGAAGGCATCAAGGGGCTTTCAAGTGGTCCGTGAAGGATGGTCGGATTTTGCGCCCGAAAAGCAGGATCTTCAGGATTTCGCGCACCCCACGGCTGGCGGCCCACGTCATAAGCAGGTGTGGACAGACCCCGCGCGGATATCTCTTGTATTCTAGGCTCCTAAACTAACACCCTAAACCCGGAAACAGAAATAGCAGCCGCTGCAAGTAGCAGTCGCCATCAACGTCGTTACGAGCAGTATTGTAAGTGGGAGGTTCAGCCATGGTTCTTACGATGATGACTGTGCTCCACTGTTGTTCTCAGCAGGTGAATAGCTGTTGTTCCTGCTGTAATGCGTTGCTGTTGGGGTATCTTGTTGAGATGTCATTGGCCGAAGGCACTAAACGTACTTTCCAGGTACATTGCCTGTCCCATGTCGCTGCCACCCCCCCCCCCCCCCCCCCAAAAAAAAAAAAAAAAAAAAAGAAAATCAAAATGCGTGCGGACCAGATACCGACATGTTGATACGGAATGGTGCGGAGAAGTTCCCCTCATGCAACGAGCCTTCAATGGAAGACCCCCCTGAGATGCATGGCTTAGATACGCCCCAAGGGCACTGACCCCGAAGTGCAAGACCTGGTCTTTCGAAGGAGCGAAGCAGACCCGACCTGCATATCTGCATCTTGACGTAGGTGTGTTCTTGCTAAACCCTAAACCCTAAACCCTAACCCCTAAAACCCTAAACCCTAAACCCTCAACAATGAGCACCGTGACTGTTGCAACCATGACCATGGCAGGCAGACATGCTTCCGCAGCTGCCGAAGAAGCGCCGACGCCGCGTGGTGCTGGACCTCCACAGGGGCGGGAGGGGGAGGAGGAGGTTTGGAACTTGTAGGGTTATAGACTTTTCGAGTTTGAGGGTTATATAGGGTTAACAGGATTTGGGGTCCTAAGCCCGAAACGCCAGACCTCAAACGTGTCCTTACTGCTCTGAGGCATCTTCGGGTTGAAGGCTCTTATAAGGATTCAGGGTTTAGGGTCTCTGTCTTTTGGGGTCATATGTGCCCTGATTAAATCGCCGAGGTCCAATTGTTTGAGAGATGTCTGTTCCCCCCTGCATCCAGCCGTAATCTCAAGAGCTGGAGAGGACCTGGAGGCTCGCGCTGGGTCCATGGCTGCTGCTGCGCATGAGGACGCAGAATGAACGGCCAGACTTGACCAAACGATCTTAAACCTCCCAGATTTGAGCCCAAGGGTTTGCGGCTTGCAGGGTCCAGAGGCCCACGTTCACTTCAGGACTGTCCTTTCCCTACAGCTCCTCTTTGATTTCACATATCCTGTAGAAATTGAGAGTCGTTTCTATGCTGATTCTTTGGGTGCAGGATTTACATATCTTGTAGGAAATATTGAGAGTCCTTTCTCACACCTACAAACCCCCTCAACCCCTAGTACCCTAAGCCCTAAACCTTCAGACCTAAGCTCCTAGCCCCTAAACCCCTAACTCCTAAACCCTAAACCCTAAACCCTAAACCCTAAACCCTAAACCCCGGCAGGAAGCAGTGGAGAAGGCCTGTGAGAGGCCCGGAGAGCCCCAAAATGTTGAGCCTCGGGTGCGCAGAGCTAGGGTTTAGGGTTTAGGGTTTAGGGTTTAGGGTTTAGGGTTTAGGGTTTAGGGTTTAGGGTTTAGGGTTCAGGGTTCAGGGTTTAGGGTTTAGGGTTAGGGTTTAGGGTATAGGGTTTCGGGCTGCCTACGACTTCGGCTTACGGATTCTTTGGGGGCTCGAGTTTACGCGTACCCAGCACGCAGGTTGGCGACGACGAAGAAGGCAGCTGTCGCAGAATATCTGTCGTGCCTTGTGGCCGCGAACGTGCCAGGCTCAGTGCTCAGGAAAAAGAGGGCCACAATAGCTAGGGGCTAAGCGGCTAAGCCCTAAATTCAAATACAGAGCCTCACGTGCCATGTCAGACTTTGGAGAGCTTCTCAGGCACGAGTCGACTTCTCGGACGGGGTGAGTAGAAAAGGTGGTTTAGTATAGCAGGATGGGCCATGGGGCCTTATAATCCCCATAATCCACTCTATAAAGGGCCCTTTAGGGCCTTTTTAAGGGGCCGTCGGGTAGAATATGCCATCCTGGTAGGGTCCAACCTAGAGTGAGGGCTTCTTGGCGGAGGTGGCCATGTTGCATGGGCCAAGTGCCATCCCACGCCCTCCTGTTGGAACGCAGCCTCTGTCGAATCAGGAAGCCCCAGCCTGGAACCCAAATTTCCCTAAACCCTCAACCTTAAGCCCTGGAACCCTTAACCCTAAAACCCTAAAACCCTAAAACCCTAAAACCCTAAAACCCTAAAACCCTAAAACCCTAAAAACCCCAAAACCCTAAAAACCCTAAAACCCTAAACCCCAAAACCCTAAGCCCTGAACCCTAAGCCCTAAGCTAGCAAGCCAGAAGCCCCTCTTGAAATTGAGGTGCGGTTTCTCGTCTTCGCCCACCACCTGGCCATGCTTGATGCCCTAGAGACATCTCTGCAGGAGCAGTCCACAAGGTGTGTCCTTCGGGGCTTGGAGGTTCAGGGTACTTATATCCAAAAATATGTCTGCACTGACAAGCCCTCTAAGTCCTCTAAGTAGGTTAAGGTAGACTTGTCACTGCGGCTCTCAGTACCCATGAACCTCCAAGTATAGTGAGTGGCTGCTTCAGTGGCATTCGGGGTTCAGGGCTTAGGGGTTCGCTACAACATGAGCGGCTCAATTTTCTGCGGGTTTAACCAAAATGCTGAACCAGTTAGCAATAAGAGCATGTCTGCCATGACAGGTACTTCCGCATCGACGGCAGCACACCCATGGCGGAGAGATCAAAGCGCCTCATGGATCCGTGCAAAGCCAACTTAGGCATGTTTTGACTAACTGATGCCTGGTGGAAACATTCTGCATCAGCTGCTTGTCATGTGAGAAGCCGGCTTGATCTGTAGCCAGCGATACACCTTATGGTTGAAGTTCGGGTTCAAGCTCAGCAAAGGTCCATGTACGCCACGCAGTGACATCATTAACATTGAATCCGGTATTCTATAATAAACGACCCAACTCCTACGGTCCACGACGCAGAAACCCGAAAGGTCTTGGACTCAAACTCGTCAGGTACGTGGAGTCCTTTCAGTCCTCGGAAGAGTTTCAGGCTGGTCCCGGCATGTGTGAGTTCAGGCCCTGGACCCCATATTATGATGGCCAGCTCTCTAAATGGGCGTCCCTTCTGGGTTTAGTGTTTAGGGTTTAGGTTTAGGGTTTAGGGTGTAGCCCTATAAGAATACGACCCCTGTATATCAGCATATGTAGTTCACCAAACATGGATGATACTGCTGAGAATATCGGCCCATGGATTTGCGGTTGTGGGAATAGGTGTGGTTAGGATTGGTGTTTGCAGTAATTATGGAGCCCGGGTTTATGGAAATCAAGATCCTCAGGGCCTTCTTGCTTTCCTCTCCACACCCTTACACTGTAATCTCTAAAACCCCGAAAGACTTGAGCAGCACCGGTGACACAAGCACAAAAGCTGTGGCTTCGGGTTTAGGCCCTAAACCCTAATCCTGAAACCCACCCACAAAAACATGCTGAAACCCTGAACCCTAAACCCTAAACCTCCAAAAAGCCCCCAAATTTAGAGGTCGCACTGCTTTCCCTGACGGCTTGCTCCCAAGGCTTCACGTACCCAGGTCGCACTACGGGGTTTTGTGGCGTTGAGGAGCTCTTGTTTAGGGTTTTTCAGGGTTTAGGTTTCAGGGTTTAGGGTTTCGGGTTGAGGGTTTCGGGTTGAGGGCATTTAAGAGGTTAGAGTGGGGGGGCTTGATATAGGGGCCATCGGCTTTATGGGTTTAGAGTTTGGGCTTTGGGGTCGCGTGTTTGAAGACTGCTGCTTCAATCATGCCGGGGGTGTCATGCTTGGTGTTTTTTTTTGTGGGCGCTGGTTGCTCTTCAGAGTGAGAGGTTTCCTAGCTCGAGTTCAGCGTGTTGTTGTTTGTGGTTGGGAAGAGTGCTGTAGGGCTGAAAACACTCAACCCAACACCTAGACCTAAAACCTAGGGGGTTCTAGAAAGATAAAGGCTGAAGTTTCGAGTCGTTGAGGTTGAGGGACTCTGCTACTGGGGAAATTTTCTCACCGAAAAGTTCAGGGTTTAGGGTTTATTTAGGGTTTAGGGTTTAGGTTTGGGATTTAGGGTTTAGGGTTTAGGGCAAAACCATAACCTCCTGAGCCCTGAACCCCCTGAGCCCCCATTCCCCTTAAGTCCTGAACTTCCAGAGCCCTCCCAAGACTCCCCTAAACCCTAAACCCTAAACGCCAACCCCTAAACCCTAAACCCTAAACCCTAGACCCTAGACCCTGAACCCTAAACCCTAAACCCTAAACCCTAAACCCTAAACCCTAGACCCTCATCTAAGGCTGAGTGCCGCCTCCCTGGTGGTCTTTGCGGAGCGACCCATGGTCTCTGATGTGTTGCTTTGGTGCGTCTTATAGTCGGTTTAGGGTTTAGGGTTGAGGGTTGAGGGTTTAGGGTTTAGGGTTTAGGGTTTAGGGTTTAGGGTTTGGGGAACTTGCGACTCCGGTTCCCCTTTGTGTCCCGGAAGGGGTATATACGGGTATACATGGGGGGGGTCTAGTATGTCCTCGACTTCTCGAGTAGCCCGCAAGCCAGGAACGTCATTTTCCGGATTTCTCCAAACTATAAATTTTCTCCCAAGAGACAGAGATAAAGAGAGAGAGAGAGAGAGATTTTGGCTCAAGCCACGAGTGCTCAAGGTGGCACCCCGAGGCCTGGCCACCTCAAACCAAAAAGAGAGAGCCGAGAGGCGAGGGGCGTGTGAGAGAGGGGGGGGCAGTCTGAGCCTTGCCCCGACCTGCGCCGCCATACGAGCTGACCTACCAGTTCGCCGAACTACGCGGGTTCATCGCGGGGGCTGTCCTCGTCAATTGCGGTGTCTTCAATCCACGGGGGCAACCGCTGCTGGCCTTCGGTGAGTTCGGGGACCGCAGAGGCGCGCGGGGGACTTAGTGCACAGCTACCTGACGGGCTTCGGCGAGCCTACAGGGGTAGTACGTGGGGGCGACGCACCTGCACGACACCTTCCTCGCCAGGGACTTTGTGACCTCAAAGACCGTGACTTGGGCAGCGACACCGAGAAGGAAAACCATGACCACATTGGGGGCAGCATCAACAGCTGCGAACGGAGGAGGGGGCGGAGGAGAGGGCAGCTCGCCCGCCAAACGTAAAGCGGCAGAAGTGGTGGAAGTGGAGGACGCCATCTCGCTGGGGGCCCTCAAAGCTGAACTCAAAGCCCACCAGGAGGCGATGAAACAAGACTTCCAGCACGCCATTGGGGGAGTGCAGAAAGACATGGCGGAGAGAGTCACCACCGTGGAGTCGGAGGTCACCAAACAACTCCAAACCACCCTGGCGCTATTGAAGCAATTGACCGACAAGCAAGACAACCAAGGGGCAAAAATGGCGGAAGTCGTGGAGGGGCAGCGCTACCTGGAAGACAAGATGGAAGCCAACCAACGCAGCCTGGAAGAACGCATTGAAAAGCTGGAGACGTCAGGGTGCAACCCGGGGCAATCCATCACCAGCATGGCGACGACCGACGACGGGATCGGGGGGCGCAAGCCGGCGCTCATCATGGGAGGATGGGGGGACAACACACCCGCCAACGAAGTGATCGAGAAGGCCACCCAGATCCTACGCCAACTCAAGGTCGACATTGACTACCAGGACACCTTTGTACCTGGGATCCGGAGGGGGTTTGCCCTCATTCCCCTCAAAGGGGCCCGAGTCGGAGAAGGAAGTGAAGAATACCGCCAGCGCATCCAGAGAGCCATCACGATTGTCCGCAATGCCAAGATCCAAACGGGACATGTGAGGGAGGACACGGGGCAGCCCCGCTACGCGTACCTCACCATCTCCCAGCCACCAGAACGTCGCCGACGAGCAAGATTGGCAGCCAAAGTGAAACGATGTATCTTAGAGCTGGGGGGCAGCCACAACGACTCGGAGGTGGAGTTCGCTACGGGCACGGTGTGGTACGGGGGCGCCCGGATCTCGTCAGCTGTCAGCCCTGCGAAAGAAGGGGCAGACAAAATAGGACCAGGATGGGTGGATGTCAACGAGATGGCCAAAGCGCTCAGAGTCACAGTGGAGCGAACCCAGCAGCCATGGTCGGGGCTCAGGGGGGCCCTTCAGTGATCGCCCATGGACAAAGCACTCCAGTTTCACCCCCGAGGTGGGGGGAGTACCACCCAACAAGCACTGAATATGCTCACCTGGAACGTGGGAGGAGCCGGGGCCAACAAAGTTCTCGACATCCTCCTCACGCTCAGTCGGGGGGGCGGCCCACATGCAAACCTTGCCACAGTGAACGTGGTGACCCTCCAAGAGGTGATCTGCGAGCCTGGCATTCACATTGAGAGCTCGGAAAATTGGACTCTCGTCATGGGGAAGATGGACACAGAGTGGAGAGGAGAAGGGGTCGCGTATGACAACCTCAAATATTGTCACACACAAGCCGAGAGCCTAGAAGGGGCACTGTCAGTTGTACTTTGGGGGGGAAAAACAGCGCAGCGTGCACCACCTGACGCCCCAACAACCACGGACACACCCACACCACCACCACAACAAACCAACACACCTACCACAACCCCCCCTTGCAGCAACGAGGGGCGCACCAAACCCACCATGGTGGGGGTCCTATCAGCACACCTTCCGCACCATGCCACGATCCCTCAGACAGAACGTATCCTCGCGGGATGGGGAGCGTGCAGAGCCTTGGCGGAGACGCGCGTCATCCTGGGGGGCGACCTCAACGAGACCTTCCGGGAGTTGGAAATGGGGGCGGCGGCGTCTACGGGGCGAGGGGAGACGCTACTCCGTTGGATGGAAGAGCACGAACTACGACTACCTGACCAAGCAATGGACGAGCCCTCGTACCACCCCTACAACACGGCCATGCGAGCCCGGCGACTGGACTACATTGCCACGCGCAGGCTCCCAGCTGGGGACGGGCGCGTAATGGAGGGGACGAGGGACATCATACAGTCGGACCACGACGCAGTCATGCTGGAGACAAACTTCACGGTGCGGAACAAACCGAAACTCACGGCAACATGGGGGGCGCGCGTCTTGAAAGATCTCGACCAAGTTGAAGAAGCGCTACGAGAACAACGCCGAGGGGATCCTCATCACATCATTGCAGAGGTGGCCAAAGCGATCACCGTGCCCGCCCCGCAAGGAGGTGAACCGTGGCAGGAAAGTGACCAGTTGAAGCACCTCCGACATCGAGCCAAGCACGCGGGGGAAACTGAACGGCGAGGCCTATGGAAACAAGTCTGGAACACGCACAAACGCGAGAGGAAGGCATGGTTGCAGCGCAAAGTGCAGGCAGCTGCCAACATGAACTGGGGAGAGCTGCGAGCACTTGGGAAACAACGCCAAAACAAACAATGGGAGCACCACCTGCTGGGCAGGCCAGGCTGGCAAGATGAACTACGCGAGCACTTTGAGGGGACATTTGCCAAAGTTCCCCGAGAACGAGTTCAGAAAGCCTTTGGGGAGCTGCGACGCGCTCTGGAGCATCGATGCAAAAGGACCCCCTGGAAGCCCTTCAAGGAAGAGGAACTGGTTGCAGCAATGGCCACGTGGGGGCGCCGAAAAGCCACCGGCGTCGACGGAACCTCACTGGAAGCACTACGAGCCATGCAGCAGGATCGGGTCTGGGGGGAGAGACTCCTCTACCTCTACAACGACGTGCTCTACACCGGCAAGCTCCACGGCAGGATGGGAGAGGGGGTCACCATCCTGCTACCCAAAGTGACGCTCCCGACGGATTGGGGGCAAACAAGACCCATCACGCTCTCAAGCTCGACACTTAAGTGGCTATCACAGCTCCTGCTAGGAAGATGCAGCCACCACTTCGAGCCGCTCACCAAGTTTCAGTGGGCCTGGAAAGGCAAACAAGCCGAGGAGCTCATCATGGTCCTTCGCAAAGTTGTTAGAACGGGGGTAGAATGGAAGCTGCCCACCTGGATAGCCAAGCTGGATGTCCGCAAAGCGTTCGACAGCGTACACCAGCAGAATATGGGGGCCATGGTGGCGCACTGGGTCGGCGAGCGGGGGGGACAACCATGGGAAGCAAGGACGTGGATGGCCCTGCTAGAGGCGGAGACCGTGCAAGTCGCAATCGGGGGGGAAATTGTGGTCGTCCTCCAAACCACAGGAGTGCGTCAAGGGGGACCGGATTCGCCTGTGCTGTTCTCAGCACTCATGGGACGAGCCCTCCAGCAAGCACGCTTGCCAGCCACAAGACAGGGGGCCGGCCCCCCGTGCCCATACAACGAAGGAGCCTTCATGGATGACACCTACGTCTGGGACCATGACGCCGAGAACTTCCAAAAACGCCTCACCAGTGTGGAAGAAACGCTGAAGAAAGATGGCCTGCACATCCACCCGAAGAAGACGGCCATCATCACGAATGCGGAGCAACCGGGACGTTTCCGCATTGGAGGGGAGTGGGTTGAACCCCAACCGGAGGAAGGTTCCTTTCACATTCTCGGCTCGCCAGTGGCGTTCAAGAACCAAGTCACCCTACTGATAGCGGAAATGCACACGAGAGCCCGCAAAGCCTTCCACGCCCATGCCCAGGAGCTCACTGCCCGAACCCCACTTCCACCCAGACTCAAGCTGATGCTGGTATACCTCCGCCCTGCAGCACTGTGGGGATGCAGTGCGTGGCCACCGCACGAAACGCTGCTGAAGGCAGCAAACTCGTGTCAGCTCCACTACGTCAGGAAAATAGTGGGGCTTGGAAAATGCGCGGGGGAAAGCTGGGTAGATTGGAACCAAAGGGGGCTGCGGGACGCCAGGGCCAAGGTACACCACCACCAGGTCCAGCGATGGTCCACCCACGCACTGCGTCGCATATGGGGGCTATGGGGACATGTCGCCAGACAACATGAGAGCTGCACCAAAGAGATCCTCCTATGGCTGGAAGGCTGAACAAGCCAACCCCAGGGGGCTGCGACATCCGAGTCGCTTCAACCCACACACGGACATTGAGCGAGCCGTGGCTGCCGTCGGGGGACAAGACTGGGACACTAGAGCTCAAGATTGTCTCTGGTGGCACTCCCAAACCGAGGAGTTCGTGACGAAGCACGACCCGCCGTGGAGTAGCGGAAAGCAAAAGGCGCTTGGCAACCTCGCACCCAACAAAACCACACGAAACACAGGGGGGGGCCGCAAAGGGGGGAACCTGGCAATCACGGATGATGTTGCGCACCGCAACGGATAGGGAGGGCCAGCCGAATCACACGCGAGCACCCCCACCACCACCACCACCACCACCACCAACACCACCACCGCCACCACTGCCACCACCACCACCAGGAACACCAACACCACTGCCACCGCCACCACACCACCGCCACTGAAACACTGCACCGGCACGCACGTGCACACTGACACCCCACCACGCGCACCACAGAAGAAGACAGAAGAAGACCCCCAAAACCCTAAAACACACATGCATGTCTGCATAGCAAGCTGCAAGGGCATGTGCACCGGATGACAGCGAGTGAACTGCAGCCGTGAGTGCTCTCAGAAGCAGCAGCAGGACAACAACACCCCCCGCGCTGACACAGCTATGCTCCGAGTGCTAGGGGCAATAGTGGCGGGGCTCAGCCTGGGCCAGCTGTGGGGGCAACCGCCGCAGCTAGCTCACGCCACGACGGGGGGCAAACCCCTGCACGCCGACCCCGCAGGGGACCGAGGCGGACCCAGAAACGCACGAGCCGACGGAGGGGGGCTGCGAGCCACCCAGCAACCAACCAGAGCAAGCAGATGGGGGAGCGCCCCACCCACCAGCCGACCCACCAGCCGACCCAAACCAGGGGGGCGAGAGCGACCAACCGACCAGCCACCGAGGACATCGTGAACTACAAGATCGTGACACTGGCAGGGACACCGAGAAGGGCAACCTCGAAGATGACCCGGCCCACCACAACGGGGCCACCCACATCCACATCCAGTGGCCCACCAACCCCACAGAGGGGCTCCCTGCTGATGCACCACACCAAGACCCCCTCCGAGGGGGCGGCCGCCCAACCAGCACCTGCGCAGGCCCACCGCGCCAACGGGGCAACTCGCCCTGCAACACCACGCCCCCGACCAGATCCCGACCCCTTGGGAAGAATACTACCCTCGCCCGACACGCAGCAGGCACCCCCTCAACCCAGTGCACCAGCGCACCCCCCCAACCGATGGGCGATCCGAATCCCTGCACCGTACGACCCCGACACGGACCCGTGGCACGACGACCATTGGGGGCACTGCACGCCCACGCAGAGAGAGCATCCCCCCGCACCACCGCACAGCCAGCCTACCGAGCCAGGGGGGCCACAAGCCGACATTCCCAGACCGACCGGGGGGCACCGCTTCCTCCCAACAACCCAAGTCCCCACCATCGGACTCCAGAGCGACCGCCTCACGGTCACCATCCCTATTCCCCCAACAGCAGACAAAGGGGGACAGCTGGTCACCCGCATACTAGCCAGCATAGCCCAGTGCACAGACACTCCACAGCAACCCCAGGACGACCCACCAAGCCAAAGCACGCCCACCAGAACCCCACCGAGCCACCCGAACCCAGAGCAAGCCAAACAACAACCGGCGCAAAAGCAACCCCCACAACGCCCCCCCCCACACCTGGCGCACCACCACGAAGGGGGCACGGAACCACCACAACGACCAGAGGCGCACCACACACCGCAGCAACCCGCTGCACAGCCAATACCACCACAACCACGGTCACCGCAACCACCGCAGCAGGCACAGCCACTGCCCCACCAGGAGCCACCCCCGGAGCAACCACCACAGCCGCAGCGGCAAACACCTCCACACCACCAACGACCGCACACCCGGCAACAACCACAGCAGCAGCGACAATGCGAGCAGCCGCCGGCGGCACAAACGACCGGATGCGACCCTCAGCAGCAGCCACACCAGCCACAACCACAACCCACCCAACCGCAACAGCAGCAACAGACACACCAACCGCCAAAACCACACCAACCGAAGCCCCATGAAGCACAGCCGCCACAACACCTCCAACACCACCACGACCAGCCGCCGCCTGCAAAACCCATCCCCCAACCGCCACAGCAGCCGCACCACCACGACACACCGACCCAAGGGCCGAGACAACGCAGCAGCTGTGACCCACCAGTCAAAGCACCGCCGCCGCGCCGAGAAGAACGGCCAACCCACCACACCGCAGGCGGGGGCACGCCAGCCACCAAGCCGAAACCCCCGCAACCGCCAGCCGAGCACACCGACGAAGAAGAGCCGAACCAACACCACGAGGCAACCGAGGGCGAAGGGGGGGGAGGCGGCCACCAGGAGCAAAGCCAAGACGGACCGGCGCACTGGTATATGCGGGAGGGGGAGACGTTCGAGGAGGCGATGGCGAGGAGGGCAAGGAACCGGCACGAGGGGAGGGGGGAGCAGAGGATGCGCAACCGCGAGCGTGGGAAAGAAAACAGCAAGCGCGAAAGCGGGGGGGCAAAGCAAGCGG